GAGAACCGAACTCACGACCTTGCGCTTGCCAGGCAGGCGCTTTTGCCACTGAGCTAAATCCCCAGCCCCGGATGTTTTAGTTCTTAAGAAAACAACTAGACCACATGGCTTCCTGACAAACCAGGGAGGCTGGTGGTTAGAGTAAACTAACAAGGACACTTGCTAACCTTGAAAAGTGCATCTTTCAGACTCCGAAGGGTTGTTCCAAGCTGTAAGTCTTTTGCAGAACTAAACCAGTCAAGAAGCACCACATAATCCACATGCCCCCTCTTCTTCCATGTGTCCTTAGAGTCCTCTGGGAGGTTTGCTTCAATCCAGCTAGCAGTGACTCTGAAATGTATTGACATTCACATTGGGGCACAAGTTGATGAGATCCTAGAAGACTAATGGAAGATACTGAGTTTTCTTCTAACCTGTACCAGCGTACAACCAATTTTAAGTAAATTCCTTCCTAGGATCACAATGTATATTAAGATATTAAGTAGCCTAAAACCTTTAACCTCACTACTGCATGTTGGAAAAAGATGTTAATAATTATGAGAGACTGAAAGAATTAGATTCAGTTCCAGCCCTCACTTTTTTTTTTTTTAAAGAGCAAAAACTGAAAGCAGAGTCTTCTGGCTCTCAGCCAAAATAAAATGGGAGACCATCTGGATCTGGATAACTTTACTCACTTTGCAGTCCTCTTACACCTGCCCAGAACCAGTATTCGATAGTAAAAAGCCAATTAACGAACACATAGGGGGCTGGGGATTTAGCTCAGCGGCACAGCACCTGCCTGGCAAGCGCGAGGTTGTGAGTTCAATTCCCGGTACCGGAAAAATAAACAAAAAAACCCCCAAACACATAGTGATTTACCATGTGCTAGACACTCTCCTAGATCCTCTTCCTCCCTGATCTCACTGAACCCTCACAACAACCTGTGAGGCAGACATTAATCCATTCTGGAGATGAGGAAACGAGGCACAGAAGGGGCAACCTGCCCAAGGTTACAGCTGGAAGGTGGAGGTAAGAGGTAAGAGGAAAACTCGGGCAATTTGGCTCACACTTGTACTCCTAGCGCCTTTGTTCCGCTGCCTCTCACAGATCAGCGCTGAAGAACGTCAGCGCTGCATTAGACAGGCTGTTCCCCTCATCTTGTTTGTGCGAGAGCAGAAGTCTTGCAATGGCAGCAACACCACGCACCGGGCCCGCACACAGGCCGCCTCCTGTCGCAGCGTCCCCTTTATCCCCCACTCCAGCCGCTGCTTCCTGTGACTCCTGCTCACCCAGGTGTGCTCCTGCACAAAGAGGGCCTCTGCTTTTGCTGCCTCTCCGTTTGGAATCCTTTCCCCCACTAGTATCTGCGTCACTTAGGCCCTTATCTCAAGATTCTAGTAACTTCTTTTGAGGCCTCCCTGGACTAAATGTTAAGATCCACCCCAATACACACGTGCACACGCATGCACGCATCCATGCATGCACGCATACTCCACCATCTCACAGCACTCATCACACATTACTTATTACTCATCTTGTAAGTTTTCACTGTCTGTCTTACCTATCCCATTTCCCTACTAAAGCTCTATGAAAGCAGTAATTTCTATCTGTTCAATGACTTAGCTCTAGCACTTAAAATCACAGTTGACTCGGCCCATAGTAAGTGCTTGTAGGTATTTGTTAAGTGTTAAATAATACAAATTTACCCCTCTGGGTAAGAAGTGCCATCACTTCTACCAAAGCACTTAGCACATAGTAGGCATGTCAATAGTTGACTGATACTGGGAAGCAGAGCAGGACTTGTAATACACTATCCACAAATAGTTTGGATTAAGACCAAATAGTTTGGATTAAAAAAAAAAAAAATAGTTTGGGTTAAAAAAAAAAACTTTAAAAATCCCATTCCTAAATAATAATCTTGGTTACTGTATCTTCTAGGAGGTAAAGAAAGAGGGCCATCTGTGGTGGTGCACCCCTGTAATCCCAGCACCCAGGAGGCTGAGGCAGGAGGATCACGGTGAGTTGGAGGCCAGCCTGCACTACATAGTGAGACCCTGTCTCAAAAAAAAAAAGAAAGAAAGAAAGAAAAAGAAGAGGAAGAGGAAGAAGTAATATAAATGTCGGCCTGGGGAAATGGCTCAGTGGTAGAGCATTTGCCCGGTATGTGTGAGGCTCTGGGTTCTACCTTACCACTAATAAATACATAACTAGTCATATTTCTCCTGATAGTGAAGAGATCACATGCTTGGTCTCCAAGGAATGAGAAAAACTAATATATTCTTAGGAACCATTTCCAACTCCAGTCATACCTGCCTAAATACTGTTCTTCAGGATTAATATTCTACAGAACACAAGAACACACTTTGGCAAAAACAAAACAAAACAAAAAAACATTAAGAACCGGGAATGGTGGCGCACGCCTATAATCCCAGCACCGGGGAGGCCGAGGCAGGAGAGTTGTTGTGAGTTCGAGACCAGTCTGGGCTACAAAGTGAGCTGAAGGCCAGCCTGAGCTGCACAGCGAGACCCTGTCTCAAGAAGACATGCAAAAGAACACACTCTGGGAAACAAGGGTGCCAGCGTGCTCCCCAAGCAGCGGCCCTCCGTGTGCCGTCCTCAGTTTGCCCCAACTCTGCTTTACTTGTACCGTGATTTAGTATTTAAATGTGCTCCAGCCCTAACTTAGTAACTCATTTAAAATCCTCTTTCATTTAAATGAACTTATTTTAAGGAGAAACTGTATGTCCCTATCTCCATGAAAAACAGCACCATAGCCAATAAACAAAAGGTAAGCCTACAAAGAAGCCGGTCGTGCAGCAAGGGGAGATTACACAGCAACTGCAACTCCGCACCGTTGCAGAGGTGACCCTGAGAAACGCCAGCTGCAACACAAGCAGCCAGCCGCAGGGACTGCAGACCGTGTGACCCATGGACAGGGAACAAAAACAGACAAAATGAGCATCTTCTATTAGGACTGTAGTTTCATGCCCCGCACATCAGAACGTTTACTCTGTTTTACGGAGTGGTGCTGCTTGCTTCCAGGATAGAAAAATAAAGCCACTCTGCATCTTCAAGGGGAAGAAAACTGGTGGTTTCCTGGGTGGGTGGGGAAACGGGCTGTAACTGAGCAGCGGTGCCATATCCTGCTCCGGAGGCCGGTGTGGGGGTGCGCTCCGTGTAGCTCAGCCCGCTGGGCCGCGCACTCAGGACAGGAGTGCTTTGTCCACACGGCCACGCCGCAGAGCCTGGGAGGCCTGTCTGTAAGAAAGGGAGCTTAGGAAACGCTAAGAAGGTGCAGTAGTCAAACTGAAACTGCGTTTAGCCTATTGAGGACTGGAACAGAAATTACAAGGGAATGATCTTCTCATTCCTCTTTAATCTTCAACCTAAAATCATTTTGACACTCACAGTAATCCTGACTGCAAACTCATGAAAGACCACCAGCTTTCTGTTGGTACAGATCATCCAAAGACTACGACTTTGCCTTTTCAGATCCTGGGAATACATTCAGATCTGCTTGATTAAACTAAACATACCACAACTTAGTTCAAAGCATGCTATTCCTCAGGTCAGACATTTGCCAAGTGTCTGTAATATGCTAAGAACTATGTAAATTTCATCTAGTTTTTTAAAATACATGCTTTTAATGTTGTTGGTAAGCCCTAGAGTGGTTTTTATTTTTTCTGTACTAGTGACTGAACCCATGGCCTTGCATATGCTAAGTGGGTGCTCTACCACTGAACTACGTCCCCATCCCTCTTTAATTTTTGAGATGAGTTCTCAGGCTGGTCTCAAACTTGCAATCCTTTTGCCTCTTCCTCATGGGTATCTAGGATTACAAGGTAGGTGCCAATTAACACGGCTATAACCAAAGATTACAACTAATCCAATCCCATCAGCTAAGATCCGAGGTCATAGGATTTAAAAGTGCTAAACACAGGGGAAACAACTTCGGATCTACAAGTTCAAGGTAAACTCTGCCAGTATGACACAAAGATTTCTGGCCTGCAATATACACATGGAAGTAACTTTACATTATTATACAGTTTTAAGACCTTTCCACTAAAAAGAAGGAATTTTGTTTTGGTAAGCTCTTCCTAGTGCCTGGCACTGTGCTAAGTGTGTGTGCTGTGCATAAAATGCTTCATTGAAACTTTCTGAAACATTTGAGGTAGACGGTATATTACAGTCCCCATGTTACAGAGGGAAACAAGCTTACGAAGGCTTAGTCACTAAGAATAATATAATAGATGACAGTTATTTGATATAACCTGACTACAAGACTATATTCTTTTTTAATCACTTAGCCATACATTTTTTTTTTTTTTTCTTGGTTTTTCTCTGGTACCGGGAACTGAACTCACGACCTTGCGCTTGCCAGGCAGGCGCTTTTGCCGCTGAGCTAAATCCCCAGCCCCGAGCCATACATTTTTTAAAAAACGTATTTGTACATCATATCATAGGTAATAGTTTGGGGAACTTCTACCTGTGAAACACTTCAATTAGCTCACAAGTTGGTACACATGATCCACAAGAACAGAAAGTGACAGGAGGAGTCAGTGAGGGGGCACACAAGGCAGCTATGCTTCATTTCTAATATGACTCCAAATGCTACAGCCAGGAGAATACAGCCAGGGGGACATTTCTGACATTGTTCTTCAAAAGGCTAAGGTGTTCAACACGAAGCAAAGAATGAAAGGGGCAACAGGAAAAGACACGACTACCTTCTCTATTAGCCTGCATGCCAGGTGGCAGCACTTAATACTGTGCAGCTTCCCGTATTACCTAGACACTCAGTGACCCACCCTGGACTGATGGCTTCTTCAGGAACACAGAGAGAATCCACAATACAGGAATCCCGGTAATCCTGCATTCTTCGCGCATCCATTATCATCAAGCTGATGTTTTTATCCGTCATCATTGTGTATAGTTCCTTTGCTGTGATTGCTCCTTGGAATCAAGAGACGGTGTAAGTGACAAGAAACACCAGCTCCGTGCACTAGCACATCAGTAAGCATAGGCCAAACACAGCTTGTTCTAGAATAGCAAAGTGTACTCAGCGTCACACTTGCTATCTCATCATCCCACTTACTTTCTTAAACCAACAGCAGGTGTAGTCTGTGTTACTATTTACGGCAGCTGGGAACCAGAACTGAGCTCTGTTTATAAAGCGTTAAGTGTCAAAAGTTGGGGTCGGGGCGCAGCTCTGTGGTACAGCACCTGCTCAGCATGTGCAAGGCCATGGGTGTGATCCCAGCATCACCAAAAAAGGAAAATCAAAAACAAGCTCTTGAGGCTACACCTAGTGTTGGCTATGTGGATCTTAAAAAAGACTCTATTTTTAAAAATTCAGACAGTAGGAAATTCAAAACTGCATCAGAAAATATGTCTGTGGTTCAGAAATTCCCAAAGGCTTACGTTCTTACAAAGTCTCTGATGGGTGTTATTAGGTACATATGAAAAAGTTTAGTTGCAAGTATTCCTAGAGTCCTGACCCCAAGGCTCAGCGTTACCGCCCCCTCTCCATCAGGGATGGCACCTGTTTCCCTGGGTGCAGTGCTGCCCGGGGTGCTTTTGACAGCAGTAGCTCACAGCGCCCCCCAGGGCCCCAGGGCTGTCAAGCCTAACATATCACTACCTGGCCATTAAGAAAAATTCTCATTCTACTTCATGCTCAGTAGTTGGCTCCCAGTCAAAAAGGAAAAAGATTTTATTTTCTCTACGAAGTCCAACAAGGAAGAAACAAAGTGAAGCTACCGACATTACTTGTTCATTTAACTGGGCGGGGGACCTGACAAAATACATGTTCCCCTGTTGTGGTTTCTCCTCAGCTCTCTACTTGTAGTGACGATTACAGCTGGAGGAGTAGATGGAGCCCCGCACTGCGAGGAGGAAGCAGACTCAGAAGCCTGCAGGGAGAAACACCTCCTGCTAACAGATGCCCCGTCCCTCATCATCGGAAGCTTTCTGATGACAAAAGCCGAAACAAGCCCAGCCACCAGAGCAGGGGCATCCAAGCAGATCTCCAGAAGAATAAAGGGACAAAAAGGATCCCTGGAGTAACCTCACAAAGGGTTCTGAGAAGGCACCCTACTCAGTTATTTTAAAATTTGTCCTACAGCAGTATTTTCATTAGAGAATTTATTTAAGTGTTACATATAATTATGTTTAAGTTAAACCTTTACTGAAACAGGAAAAGTTCTAGTAGATGAAACAATCTCAGTCTTGGTTAGGGTCGTATCTGTGACTGTATCACCTAGTGATACAGTCCATAGGTTAGTTTAGATTGTTTTCCCAGCGGGAAGCAATAATCATAATAAACTCTCCAAACCACAATCATAAATAACAACCACAGCTAGTACTTAGAGTTTACCATGGACTCTAGGCATTTCACATGTAGTGACTAGTCCAATCTTCACAATAACCCCATGAAAACAGGTTTTATTACTGCCCCCACTTTACAGAAGGGGAAACTAAGGTGGAGAGGTTACATATTCAAGATCACACTGAAATTCAGAGGAAGAGCCAGTTTTCAAAGCCAGGCAATCTGACCTCTGAGAGTTCATATTCTAGACCATTACACTAAACTACATCTAGAAAAGAAAACAAGCACAAACTGTGGTTCTGATGTTTTCAACTGCATATTCCCATACTTTATCATGTCAGGCTGAAACTATTGATAAATATCTCCCATAGTAAATAGACATGGAACCTAAGGCAATTTCAATACAGTGGTACAGACTAAGAAAAATCATAAAACTTATACAGAGTCTGGACACAAAGCTAAGCATCTCACTGTACAGAATCTGAAATTATTCTGATTAAAAGAAACCCTCAGTGAGAATTTAGAAAGAGAACATACTTACCTTTCTCCGCAATTTCTTTCTTTTCACTCTTTTCACCATTGATCTATTTCACAGGGAAAAAAAAAGTTTCAACTTTCACAGAAACAAAAAGTTGAACTTTAATACCTCAATAAAGGAAAAAGCCTAAGAAACGAAGTGCACTGAGTGATGACATTTTATAAAAACCCAGATGAACAGTAACGGCCCTACCAAATGACCGGCAGAGGCCACAGCTAAAGTAACAAGCAGCACATCAGAATCATAGGGCACTTCTTCATAATTTTCTTCCATTAAAGGCCAAATATAACTTAAAAGCACAGACTGCTGCAGAAATTTAGTGTTCAATTACAAAATATTTCCTACAGTGAAACAAATATTCTACCTAACCATTCAGTGTCCTCCATTACATAACTTAAGGAAATGTATCCAAAGTGTTCCTTATGTAATTTAGACAACCTGGGAGAAGCCTGTAAAATACTCATCTTATAGATGGGAAAACCAAGGACTCACCTGGATCTATGACTCAATTTTATCATCACTAATTATAACAAAATAAAATAAAGGTGCATTTATGCGCCTTCACGTAGGACACAACATGAAGCACACAGTATTATCTGAAGAGCATTCTTGCCATAAAATAAAACTTGAAACTGACTCTATGTGAGATAAAAGAAATATGGGAAATAGAAAACCAAGTAAAACGACACAAGGAGGAAGCAACCAGACAGACAAAGAATGTGGCCCACTTTCCAGAACTAGGAAGGCTGGCAATTGAAATGCAACCTGACAGGAGTACCTCAGTGTTTTGAGTACCTGCCCTCTGTTCTCGAGTATGTCCCGCATCTCTAATAATTTCTTCTCATGTTTCTTAAAAAAAAAAAGAAACATGAGAGGAAGGAGAATCTCAAATGGAGATTACTACAGAGCAGTGGTGGCGAATCTTTTAGAGCTTTCAATGGTAACGAACAACGGGCTGCAGCACATGTGCCCTAGGCTCACCACCACCGTTCTAGAAATGTAAGGGACGTACCAACCAAAGACAGTCTCTCTGGTTTGGACCCTAATTCAAACAAATCAGTTTGAAAGAAGTCATTTTAAAACAAGTACCTAAATCTAAACATAGGCAGAATATTAGATGACCTTAGAGAATTACTGTTAATTTGTAGGTGAGAAAATAGGACTGTAGATATTAAGAAAATGTTCTTTTGTGAGACGTATACTGAAATACTTAGGAGTAAAATGGTACAGGAGCTAGAACATGCTGTGAAATAGCCTAGCGAGGGCATGGTGGCACATGCCTATAATCCCAGCACTCGGGAGGCTGAGGCAGGAGGATCATTGTGAGTTCGAGACCAGGCTGGGCTACAAAGTGAGTTCAAGGCCAGCCTGAACTGCACAGCGAGACCCTGTCTCAAAAAGACAAAAACAGAACGAAATATCCTAGCAAAAGAAAAAGTAGGAGACAGATTTAAAAGTATGGCAAAACGTTAGTTGATTAATGAAGTTAGAGTGACAAGGCTAAATTGCATTCTCTTTCCAAAATAAAAAGACAAAAAGTAAAAAAATAACAAAATTGACCAATCACTTTTGGAAAGGCAACAGAATGAAGAGTTAATAAGGTTCCCTGTATGGACGGTCCCTTCAGCCTCCAGGGCAGCCTCCAGTCCTGTCACGTGGGCACCACAGCTGCCTGACGCACACACTGCTGACGCAGCGCCACCTACGGCGCGAGGCAAGTTCTGGAGGCTGAAAGACCAGACTCTGTCACCTCCTTCTACACAGTGCCTAACACAAGGTCACTCCTTCTTAACGACACTAATGATCCAAGAAAGGAAGGAAGGAAGGAAGGAAGGAGGGAGGAAGGAAGGAGAGACGGAGGGAGGGAAAGAGGAAGGAAGGAGGAAGGAAGGAAGAAGGAAGGAAGGACAGAGGGAGGGAAAAAGGAAGGAAGGAAGCAAGGAAGGAAGGGAGGAAGGAAGGAAGGAAGGGAAAGAAAATGGAAAACCATAAAATGCCTAAGGGAAAAAAAAAATTAAAGTAGAATTTCTAAGGATTCCAACAAGGCTAAAGAAATGGTACTTTTTGGAAGAGGAGCTTCTGATGCGGGAAGGAGGGGAGGTACGGTGACTCCTGACAGGTACAGACGAGTCCCTGGCAGCTTCTGGAGTGAAGACATAGAGGAGCAGCGAACAAGACGCAAACAGAAAGAGGAAGGGGGAACAGGCAGAGAAAGGCAGAGCACGGGGACCAAACAAGACCTCAGACACACGTCAAACAGGTGTGACGTCAAATAAAGCAGTATACCCATCAATCTTCTAACACAAACTTCATCATCAGAAAGAAGAAACCTTATAGATCACGTACTTCAAGACCTTCGCTTGGCAAGTAAGGAGCACGGGCTCTGGAGAGACTGAGCAAGGCGTGACTGGCCCGGAACTTGGACATACTGAGTCACAGCTCAAATGCTTTTCTACCGCTCTGACCAAGTTCACGACGGCTGCTGGGAACGTGATGAACGGACAGCGCATACTGCTGTAGAAGCTCACAAAAACCCCCAGCATCAACTGAAGCAGGAATATTTAATTCAGTTTCTGAGTAAAACGCCTTAATGTTGACCCTTGTGGCCTAAAAGAACTGTACGGTAGTATCTCACTCCTCACAAGCAAATCACCTGACCAACAGAAGCAGACTTTGACATTACACAAGAAATAGGAAATACCCTTTGGGGTTTGTTCTGGGAATCCAGTACATTTTCCAAAGAACCTTTAGTCGTCGCGCTGCCCTCCTCTCTTCCCGCTTCCTGCCGCTTCTGCTGCTGCAGCTGCTCTTCCTCCTGTCGGTCCTTCTCCTCGAGCTTTTTCCGAACTTCAGCTTCTTCGTATCTAGTTGAAAAAAAACAGTCAAGATGTATTTTGTTGGCATGACACAGGGAAGTAAAGGGCTCCCATTTCAAATTTACCACCCTGCCTGGGGCTGCCAAGCAGCTGCCACTCTCCCTCCAATGGGGGGTCCACATGTGCCTCTCAGGACAGCTGCATGTTTAGTCCAAACGCCCAAAAGTCTGGCAAAGAACCACTCTGTGCTCTCAAGCTGAAGTTATGTAATGCTCCTTCCCTCTCACTAATTTCAATCTTTATGTAAAGTTTGTTTCTTTTTTTTACGGTGTTGGGGATGGAACCCAGTACTTTTTCTGATTCAAATCTGTTGCAATTTCCTTCTCAAAGGAGCTGCAAGCCCCTACTTCTCTCCACAAAGGAAACAGTCCAAAAACTGTGTCTGTGATATAGAGTAAAAATGCTAAAATGAGCCTTCAAAAGGTACTGGGGGTGAGCTAGAGTATCACCAAGGTCAATAGGTTATGGTTTTTTTTTTTTCTTTTGCAGTACTGGGATTGAACCCAGGGGCTTTATACTGATATATAACCCCCTTTCTTTTGCCCAGGCAGGGCTCAAACTTGTGATCCTCCTGCCTCAGCCTCCCACAGTGCTAGGATTATAAGGGTGTGCCACCACACGTGGCTTTTCTTTTTTAAAAGGATGACTACATTGAAATTTCCAACTTGTTGGAAATTAAACAGCTATGTTAGTAAATATCCAAGTGTCTTAGTTACTTTTTTCTCCTTGCTGACACAAAAAACTCAACACCCAAAGTTAAGGAAGGAAAGGTTTATTCAGGTCACAGTTCATGGAGGTTTCAGTCCATAATCAGCTGGCTCCAAGCAGGGTGGCGTGGCACAGGGGCAACCATTCAAGGCGGCAGAAGACAGCAGAAGCAGCAAGAGCAAAACGGGCAGAGCAAGCCTCTTTTCCTCCCTTACACTGTATGCAGGATACCCAGAGGTATAGCATTCACACCCCCAATCCCAGCGCTAGACAATGAACCAATCACAAACTCTAGACTCAGCCACCTCTGAAAAGCCTGCCCCTATAACCACATGAAGTTTGGGGGACACCCATACACAAACCATGAGATTCCAAGGAATTTGGAGTTCTTCCCTAATAATTTATAAGCACAGGGCAGGGACTGTACGTTATCAAGTACCTGTGACCTTGTTTGCCCCAAGTACAACCAGCATCTGTGAGTTTCAGATGGGGCGGTGAGAGGCCTTCAAGCCACGTGGACTGTGCGAGAGAACCCAAAGGGTGGATGCAGCACACCAAGACTGTAAGAGCAGCTGTACAGCTACGCTCAAGGGTGTCCATGAGAAATGGTTCTGTAATAATCAGCGCATAGGAACCCTCTGCTGCACAGAACACGCTACTGACAAAAAGAGCCAGTAGAGATTCTAGAAGTGAAACGTGCTTTTAGAAAAGGAAAAACCTTCACCTGAAAACTGGAGATGACAGTCTGTACATACAGAGCAACAGAAATTACCCAATCTAAAGAACAGAGAACGATATGAAAATAATAATAATAAAAGAAAAACACAGCCTTACGAATATGCTGGGGGAAAAAATTAATATACAGCTGAAGTCCAAGCAAAGAATGAAAATGGGGCAGAAAAAATATTTTAGGAAACAATAGCCAAAACCTCTCCAAATTTTAGGAAAGACGTGAATTTACAGATGCAGGGAGCTCAGTGAATTCTAAACAAGAAAAGTACAAAGAAAGCATCCCAAGTCATGTCATATCACACTCAAACCAAGGTTAAAGGGGTAAAAAACTTGTTTCTTTTTTGAGACAGTGTCTTGCTAACTAGCCCAAGAGATCCTTAATCTGCCTCAGCCCCCGCAGTGCTCTGATTACAGGGGTGTGCCACCAGGCCCAGCCTGAGAAAATCTTGAGTCAGGTAAAAACAATACATTTCACACAAGGAATCAGCGACAGGGGACTGACAGCCATTGCCACACCAGAAGCAGTGCAGGCCTGAGACACACAGCGTCTAAGGTGCTGAGTGGGGGAAGAAACCAGAATCCTGTATATCTTGTGAACATACCCTTTCAGAATAAAGATGCAAATACAGGTATCTTCTAATAAATGAAAATCAAGAATTTGTTTCCAAAAGATCTGTAGTATTAGAGTGCTAATGGAGCTTCTTCAGGGAAAGGAAATGATTCTAGGTAGACAACTATCTGAAAGGGACAGACAGGTAGAGATGGTAAATAGGAGTGAACATAAAAGATACGTTTCTTTCCTTGTGACTTCTTTAAATTACTCATGCATTCTGTTTTGGGTTTGTGTACTGAATCCACGGGTGCTGTACTACTAAGCTACACTCCTAGCCGGTTTTATTTTTGAGACAGGTTCTCACTAAGTGGCTCGGGCTGGCGTCGAACTTGTGATCGTCCTACCTCAGCCTCTCAAGTATCTGGGACCATCGGCAAGCGCCACCACATCCCACTCACGTGCAAAAATTATAACTCTACTATTAAGAAGAAGTTCTAATGCACGAGGGCGTAATATATGTGACACTAACGCATAAAGTATAAAGGGTGGTAAACAGACTTACATAGTTACAAGGCTTTCGCATTTTACATAAAGATAATGTTACTAATATAAAAGAGAAAATAGAAGAGAGAGAAATCCCTACTTTTTAAAAATTCAGTATTGTTAAAAGGTACCAGATAACATGGAATTCTACACAGAAATACTCAAAGAAAGGCAGGAAACTAAAAAATGAAAAACAGATGGCAAGTCAAAGGGAGCCAGATAACAGAAAAACAGACGACATGAGGAAAAAACAGTAAAACAGACCTGAGACCAACTACAGCAATCACTACATTAAATATGACTACATAAAATATACCGAGAATGAGGCAGAAATGGTCAGAAGAGGTGAAAGAGCAAGATTCAGTACATGCTCTCTACACAGAGGTACAGACATTAGGCTCAAAGTAAATGGCAAAAGATGCAAACAGTGCATAGACTACGTGGCCTCAGCAGTCTTCAGGATACAGAATATTCCCAAGGTAAAGAGAGACATAACAATTAAGAGGCTAATTCATTGGGAATTTATAATAGAAATGTTTATGTGCCTAAAACCATAATTTCAAAACACACAAGACAAAAGCTGAGTTAAATGCAGAAACAAATACAGTTAGAGATTTAACACCCTCTCTTAGCAATCGTGACAACTTTTTATTTATTTATTTCTTTTATTGAGAGAGTCTCGCTATGTAGTTCAGGCTGGTCTTAAACTCACTATGTAGCCCAGGCTGGCCCCAAACTCAAGGCAATCCTCCTGCCTCAGCCTCCCAAGTGTTGAGACTATAGGCCTGTGCCACCACATCTGGTCTGTAACTGTTACAACTTAAACCCCCAAAACCTCAAACGGTAAAGATCCCAACAACACCACATGACCTAAATGATGCACTGCTAAGGTCTGCATGTGGTCTGTGTCCTCTCCCCACAACCAAACTCCATTGAATGGGACCGTGGTATTCAGAGCCGGGGCCTTCGAAGGGGACAGGGTTCGAGAAGGTCATCAGGGTGCACCTGTCACAACTAAGCGCTGGTGGCTTTACAAGAAGAAACAGAAATGGAAAAGACTCCACAGTGTGCTGCAGTCACACGGTCCTTGCCTCAGGCTGCACCACACCACTTGGACTTTCAGCCTCTAAGACTAATTCGACAAACCTTTTGTCTTTACAACGTTAGCCTTCTTGGGTATTTCCTCACAACACAGACGGCCTAATGACAGAGGGTACTAGATCCAACAGGACTTTCTTTTCAGCACACACAGTACAGTCACCAAGACAGACCACATGGCAAGCCATAAAACAAGAATACACTGAAAAGGACTGGATACCTATGACTACAGAGAAATTAAATTAGAAATCAACAAGATACCTAGAGAAACTACAAATATTTGGAAATTAAACAACTATTTCTAAATAATGAATGCATGGGTCCAGGAAGAAATTACAAGGGAAATCAGAAAATATTTAAAAATAAATTATTGGGCCAGGGATACAGCTCAGCAGCACAGTGCCTGCCTAGCAAGCGTAAGGTTGTGAGTTCGATTCCCGGTACCATAAATAAATAAATAAATAAAAATAAATTATTAAGCTCTATGGGGGGAACAAAATGCTCTTAGAGTTAAAATAAAATAAATGGAAGCCAACATGAACAACCTATAGGACAGTGATGGCAAATCTTTTAGAGCTTTCAATGATCACAAACAGCCAGCTGCAGCACATGTGCCACAGGTTCACCACGCTATGGGATCAAAAAACAAACCAACAGAGGCCTCACCACACCGCACGTGTCTAGACAGTGCCCAGGGCTAACTGAACTCTCAAATCTTTGACAGGTCTGTGCTTCCTGGAACGTTCACTCCCCTCCTTCCTTCTGCTCTGGGAAGAACCGGCTGGCAGGACAGGAGGCCAGGAACATCCATCACCTGGACGTTGGTGGAAACACCGCTCTACCCTGTGCTGCCTATCTCAAACGCCAGCGTCTATTTCACCGTCCCCACACAGACATGCAGACTCGGAATGGGCATGTGCTGCTACTGCGCCTCACCGCTTTGAAGCAAATCATTAGAACGCCAAGAGAAAGGTGCTGCGAACAAGTCTGCTTCCGCAGTCAGTAACAGCACCACACCACGTAGTGAGCAGCTCTCCACGCCAGGCACCAACCTAAGAGTGTGTGCGTATTAAGCTGCTTGAGGTACTCAAAAGCCCTTACGAGGTAGGTTTACTTTTACCCCAGTTACAGATGAGGAACAGGTGGAGGGAGGCCACGTAACTTGCTGAGAGCACACAATTCATAATGGAAGAGCTGGGATTCAAACTGAGCAAGTCTGGCTTCTCACTCTTCCCTCTGCTCCCCAGCACTTCTCTGGGAGCATTCTATGCTCAAACAGTGTGGGAACTGTTTGTCCTAAGAAGCAGGTACAGTCGGCCTGAATCTAGTATGTGGGCAGAAATGAAAAAACTTCACGAGCCTCTTCTTCCTATTTTCTTCTGTTACCCCTTGTTACCTCCACCTTACCATCTGCTCCACTTCTACAACGTGCTCTGCAAAGCCGCTTACAGAGCTGGTCTCCTCCTGCTCCGGAGCTCCAGTTGGTAATCTAAGGTGAGGCCGGGGCACACATTCCTGTGACACTGACTTCCGGTTCTGTTACTGCCTGCCCGATCCCTTCCACTAGCATTCTGACACCTCTACACCAGACCATCCCTAACAGGAATGTAAAGGGAACGGGAGTAAGTTTGACAAGTACTCCCCGGTGACAGGTACAGCTGAAATCTGCTTTCTAGCTATAGCCTAGGTACCTTTGCAAATGCCTTTTTGGGAATGCAGAACTGTGCCTGCCTGAGGACTGGGGAGATACATACCATGACACCGGATGACTGGGTAGAGTTCAGCAAAAAATGTACCCTAAGATGATCACGATTTTCAGCAAATTATAAACTATACTCCACACTCCTTACCTGGCCAATGCCCTCTCTCACACTGCGGGCCTTTTAAGAGATAAATCCTAAGCACTACAAATTTCAGAAACTTAAAGGGAGAGAAAGCTGTGCAGCAGAGCACTCATCAGGGCATCAATAAGGACAGAGGTGAAAATATGTTAACACAGAGCTGCTCTAACTGTCAGTAAAAAAACCAAGCACCTGGGGCAGAGAGCGGGGTGAGGACTCAGGGAAGAAACCAGAGTGGAAAGTTCTCCCATGTAATGGCAAAGTAATCTCCACCACAGGAAAACCCAGAGCACATTCGAAAAACCCTTAGGGCCCCAGAGGTCATTCAGCAACAGGCACCTCATTACGCTGAAAGCTTTTTACTGTGCAAAAAGTAAATGCTGAAATACTGAATCACTCTCAGTGACTTCCTTTATAAGCGGAAAGATTATTACTTAAAGACAAAAGTGTCAAGGCATTGAAGAAAATTACGCTTGCTCCAAGAAGCACCTGCTTTTGTCACTGTAACCTACATGTATGTAATGCTCTGATGACACACATTACAAAACAAAACTCTTCACACGAACCCTGCACATATGTTTAAAAGAAACAGCAGTAACAGAATGCCCTCGCAGTCAAGCTCCACTGCACTAAGCTTTCATACATCTCATGATCAAGGTTTCTTTGTCCAGTTTCCAGCTCTAAAGAGCTCTATATAAACACTTCTTTCACCCACATAGCTTCTATGTACAGTCACAGACTAACTGCTTTCTCAAGAATCTGGCAACCACCAGATTTCCTTTACCCTTTAGGACAAGAGCAGTATGTACCAACACAAAGAAACATTTTACAACAAAATCACCCACAACTCTACCACCTGACCTCAGCTGTTTACTTGTCTTCATCTTCTACAGGGCTAAGGGTGCAGTTCAGGGGCAGAGCACTATCTGGCAGGTATGAGGCCCAGGGTTCAAGTCCCAGAACCACAAAATGAATGAATGAAAAAACAAAAAAACATTGTAAACTTTTCTTTTAAGAGAATAGTTTTAAAAACAAGTAATATGACACATTTTTAGTGAATAAAGACCTAAACCAGTACAGAAATGTCAGCCAGCTTCAGTTTCCTGGTTTTGCCCTTATTTCTCACTTGCATCATAAACGTCCATCGGCCCCTTTCCACTAAGCCGGCTTTGGCAGCCGGCGGCACTTGAAAGCACTCTCCTGCCCGCTCCTCTGGTGTCGTACGTCTGGGACTGCTTTTCGATGCAGCCAGTGACAATTTCTGTGCTGCAGATACGGGCAGAAGTTTATCTACGAGGACTCCATGACAGCACTATGCTGTTCACACGGGCAACACTCTAAATTTAAAGAAGACTAAAAGCTGAAACATACTATTTTTAATTTGCAAGAATTTTAATCACTTCTTGGCCTTTTGGCTAAGATAAAGTGTAACTCTCAAGAATTTTATAAGCCTGGTAGGCTAGTCATGGCAAATATCAGAATTAATTTTTAAAAAATATACATATAACTTTTGAAACTTTGGGCAGATCAAATATAAGAATTACATCACTCCTTAATTCTAGTACGGAGTAGCACAGTATAACATGGGGTATATAAAGAACTAAATTTACAAACATTGTAAGTTGTGAAAAACTGGACCTGGGTTCTAATCTAATGTACCAGCACTTACCTTAACAATCTTCCTAAATACTTAAAAACTTTCGATAAAGAATTTTAATACATGAATGTAATATAGGTAATACAGCAAACAATTTTAATTTTTGTGCACCAGTTAACATAAATATTGCTTCTAGGAAGCGGGTGTTCCATGCATAATCAGATATAAATTGACAAACTCTAACTCTTAATTTTAATTTCTAAATTTACATTCCTTAAAGATTTTATAATAACTGTACCTCAGTTTAAGGCTTTCAGAGAGTCTTTCAGCTTCTTCGATAGCTTTTTTGATGTTTGCAGGTCCAAGCACTGAGTGAAAGTAGTCCTGAAATTGTAGGAAGCCACGTCATACTGTTAGTACTGGCACTGCAGACAGCATTAAACGTTACAGCCCCGGTGCTCACATCAAGGAAACTTTACATGGAAACTGCATGATAACTGAAGTTGTTTTTAAAATTTTAATCTACACAGATGAACAATTTATTCTCAAAAATAGTCTCAAAAATATTTCTTCGTATCAGTAATATGTTAACAAATATCCGGTCAGGTAATAAACTTTACTTATTTAGAAGCCACCATTAGGAGGTTTAAACACTACTGTTGTTTATGAACAGTACCAAAGAGTAGTTTTCAAGAGCAAAATATATTTTCTTACTAGAAATACGAATTTTTTTCTTCAGTCTCAAAAGCAATAAAGGGAATCATGTATAGCAATATAGCACAGGGTTTATTTGTTTACTTATTTTTAAAATTGAGGTATTTTTGGTTCTACTGTACTGTACAATAGCTATTCATATCCCAGCCGGACTCAAAACATTTCTGACACATGAGATTTACATATGAGATTTCAGGAAACCTTGAAAAACTAAAAACCCAATGATAGGAAATAAGTCTTCAACAGCATAACCTATCTTTAAGAAAACACAGAAGGCTTAATATGACATGTTTGACTAACAAACAAAGTGAAATTTTCAAAAAACTTATTTACTTCAAAAGGCCACTTATTCTGATCAGAGGTATTGCAAACCGAGGCTGGCTGGCCATGAAAGGACTTAGCAACTGAGGTGCGTGATTACTGGACCTGGTTTGCTACAACAGTGAGTCTGGCCCTGCAGGCAGAGCTGGCAGCACAGTCCTCACAGATGCCAGCGGCAAAGACTATGAAAAAAGGCCCAGGAAGCCTCATCGCTGGCTCTTTGCAAAGCCGTCATAAAGGGTGCAGTCGTGGAGCAAATCTGTTAGCAGTTACCACTTCCTACTGTGCCTAAAAGGAAACTGGATTTTGGTTTACTTATTTCTCTAAAGCCTAAGTATATCAGAAGGGCCCTTTATATTGTACGTAATATGGATCAAAGTGTAGTTTGTTCAGTATCGTACCCAATGAACACTAATTACCTCAGTAATGTAATGTCACTATAAACTTCTGATAAAAGCAAAATACAATGTAAAAACCAAATGAAAACTTGGCTCTAATTTGTTTTATCTAATTTGACATATGAATTCTTAAAGCTAACACGTGAACAGTTTAACCCCATTAAGACACTGGAAAGTCCAGGCATGCGGCAATGCCTCTAATCCCAGCACTCTGGGAAGTTGAGGCAGGAGGCTTCAAGTTTGAGCCCAGTCTTGGCAACTTAGTGAGACCTTGTATCCAAAAATAAAGAGGAGTGGGGTGGGGATGTAGTGCAATCCTGGGATCAATCCCAATACTATCCAAAAGAAAAAAAAAAGACGCTGAGAAAAATTATGTTTGGACACGTGTTACAAACTACTAGGAGATACCCCTCCCTATCAGTGAGGCTGCCTGTCAATGATTATCTCTGTGCGCTCCTCAGGGTGCACAGTTAAAATAAGTAGAAAAACTTTCCAACTTTCAGTATTATAACTGGCAGAAAAGACAACATCCATTTCATATGCAACTACATATGTTGATGCTCAAGTCTGCCAAGTAAACTTTCTTACTCTCATGATTCCTTAGGATTAAGGGTGATCAAGCATGCCATGCAGATATGAAGTGTAATTCTAATTCTAATTATATGCAGCAGAACTTGCTATGCATCCATCCCCACCTTTCAGATAACCCTGAAAACACTATTTATAAACTGATTTTTTCAGTAAGTAGACAATAGGGGCTGGGGATTTAGCTCAGCGGCAAAAGCGCCTGCCTGGCAAGCGCAAGGTCATGAGTTCGGTTCCTGGTAGCGGAGAAAAAACAAAAAAAAAAACAAAAAAACAAACAAACAAACAAACAAAAAAAGTAGACAATAAATGTACTATGTCTTTCCCCACTCGTAAGAGCTAGTAAATTAACAAGTTTTACCTAAATATTGAATATCCTATAGTAAAGAGTGGAAGACATGGCCTAGTGTGGTATAGCACGCCTATAATCCCAGCAGTCAGGAGGCTGAAGCAGGAGGATTGCCATGAGCTCGAGGCCAGCCTGGGCTACAAAAGTAAGTTCAAGTCCAGCCTGAACTACACAGTGAGACCCTGCCTCAAAGAAAAACAAACAAACAAACAAAAATGTGAAAGATGTAAGTTTCTGAAGAAATTCAGAATACCTGATTTAAGGAGTAATAACTAGAGAACAGGAACTCTTTTTTTTCTTTTCTTTTTCTCTTTGTTTTTTTGACATAGGGTCACACATAGTTCAGGCTGGTTTTGAACTTACTTGTAGCCCAGGCTGATGTGGACTGATGAACTCAAAGGATCTTCCTGTACTAACCTCCTACACAGCCAAGACTATAGGCACAGGGCCCATGCCCAGCACTTAACTCTTCTTAATGTGTGACAGAATCCAGTCCTTCCACTGGACCTGGCAATCACTCAGTACAACAGAAAGCAAATTATGCCCCACATGCTGCTATAAACGTGTACTAAGGCACGGCAAAGTAAGACAGCGTGCACACACACGCACCTGGAAGCAGTGACACTGTCCTTAGCTTGCTCTTCCGGTTTGGAATTGATCTTACCCAGTGGGGCCTGAACAGCACTGCCAGCTGGATGTGTAGCTCAGGAGCACATGCCTGCTCCGCACACGAGAACTCTCGGTTCTGTCACCTCAAGCCCCACCCCACACACTCCAAGGAAAGTCAGTTCACTGTTAGTCAAAGCTCTTTGAGGAAACCAGTAGTTATGTTATACAAAAATGGCAAAAATAAAAGGTACCTGCTGTTGCTTGAAATCAGGTCTTTTTTTGATAAGGTTATAAACAGTCACGTATTTCATATATAGCACATAGGCCCTTTCCTCGTCACGATCTAATCTGCATTCTTCTGCTGTCTTGAAGATCTTCAGAGCACTGTGCACATAACTTAAAAGGAGAGAAAAAATAATTAAAATGCTTGACATCTGGTGGGAAAGTAGAGGTCATACACGCAATATAGGGGCTGGGGATTTAGCTCAGCGGCACAGCACCTGCCTGGCAAGCACAAGGTTGTGAGTGTGATTCCCGGTACCAGGAAAACAACAACAACACAACAACAACAACAACAAATGTAATCTACAGATAATCTTTGCCCTTTCTCTTTTTTGAGGTATTAGGGATTGAACTCACGGCACTGAACTATAGCCCCAGGCCCCTTCCCCTTTGCACTCTTTGAGACAGGGCCTTGCTCAGTCCATCAGTCACTAAGTTGCTCAAACTGGACTTGGACTTGCAGTGCTCCAGCCTCAGCCTCCCACAGTGCTGGGATCACCGGTGCACACCAGCATGCCCCAGCCACGGTCATCCCCACAGAGAACTTTAAGGATTTAGGTTGTACTACTTCCCACCTTGGTACCCAGATGTAAGTTTGGATACAAGCAACTTCTACTTTCTGGAAGATGTGGGTAGTCTTAGAGAAACCACTAGGAAGGAATGACCTGTCTTGGTCATTGACCTGACTAGAGACTCTCCTCCTCTTCGGTCCTGAGAGCACGTAAAGGTGACTGGATGGTTCCAAACGCTTCCTGTTTGAAGAGCAGGTAACACGAGTGGAACAGAACTGCTGTCTCTGTGACCTTACCACCATCACCAACGAAGTCCAAGAAGGAAGCCAACTGCTCTTAAAAGGTCTCTTTTCAATACTCAGGAATACCAGTTCTTTCTGGAATTTTCCTTCCTGACATTTTAAAAGTTTTTACCAGTCTTTGCCATCTTTGATATTTTGTTTGCTTCCCGCCTTCTATTTATTCCCTTTAGAAAATAACTCTGTATGCTCGCATAGGTTTCTTTAGATACCTCTGCACTGGCTCTTTTGGGCTCACAAAGAACACAAGGGTCTCCTATTTATTTCCAGTCATGGTAGGGCCAGGGAGACAGCGCAGCGGCACAGCACCTGCCTGCCACGTGCAAGGTCCCGAGTTCGATTTCGGCACCAAAAATAAATAAATAAAAATAAAGTGACAAGTATTTGGGCCTGGTATAGCTCAGTGGCACAGTGCCGTCCTGGCAAGCACAAGGTCATGAGTTTGATTCTCGGTGCCAAAAGAAAGGAGAAACTCAAGTCATGGAACGCTTACTTTCCCCTTTAATTCCTATCCCCTCCTCACTTTAATTTCTACAATCTACTTTCCCCTGTCTGCGGACTATGGCTAGTTAGGCCCATCTTCTTTCTAAGATTTTATTTCTGACTCCATAGTAATATAGTTACTTATTTATCTCTACATCTTCTGTTTTGGGCAAAATAAACTCCGAGGAAAATTTCTCTATCTTCTGATCCTTAACAGAGATACAACTAACAACAGATTAACAATTTTAGTGATTCTCTACCTCTAGCAAAACTATATTCCAGGAAGTATCAAGGTAACTGATGTGATCTTTAAGTTATTTTTATTTTGTTTTATGAAAAGACAATGACTTGTGGCTAAATGATTTTTAGAGACCTCCTCATACCGTCTCTTCAACTTATGACTTATTGTGTCTTCCCTGGACAGTAACCATGGGGTCAGACAACACATAACGCACCTGTGAGAAGAACATATATGTACCCTGCAAGACAAAGAACTTCTCTAAGATGGTCTTTATCCATGTGAGTCTATCTTCCAAGAAATTTTAAGTTGACTATTCATCTAACTTGAACGGGAAATGAACTAAAAATATATGATTCAAACAAAGTAGCAAAGGATACATACCTCTTAGTGCTTATTTTCTCTGGCTTAACTTCTGTCTTCTTATTGAGGTCTTTTAGTGAAGAACTGAGGTAGAGTTCTTTAGGAACGGAAGCCACAGCAGGCATGATGAATAACCTTTACTTTTCCACTTTCAGAACGGATGAACAGTAGTTCCTTCCTAGAAGAAAACAAACAATTCCACTAATGCACTTTTCTCATTAACAATAAAAACAAGAGATCAGTTAAAAACGATACTTCAAGGCTGGGCTGGGGCAGAGCAATTGCCTGGCATGTACAAGGCCCTAGGCTCCATCCCCGCACAACAAACAAAAATCCAAACAAAACAAAACTTCTGAACTGTATCCTGTGCTAACAGGGTTAATTTTAAACTACCTAGTACTTTATTTACTTATTTTTATTTAGTTTTTATTTTTATTAGTACATATCTGTAGTACATAATGATTACATTAATTGTGGAAATTTTAAATCCTTTTGAGTATTTATTTGGGGAGTTCAAGATACACAGTACAGGGTATAAATAAACAGTAATATTTTTTCAAATTTCCATTAACTAAACAAATTACGGAAATATTTCTCCTTTCTTATTGGTATCCATTTGTAAAAGAAAACAAGCTGTAAGCAGAGCCATACAGAATTATACGCAACTGTGAATAAAAGAATGTTTCTGTTTCTGCCAGAAAACGCCTGTGCACTTTTGATGTTTCACGACTCCCTTTGTTTCCGTGTGTGCCTGGCAAATTCTAACCAGGGAGACGGGCAGGCAGTAGGCAAAGCGTGGACGAGAGGAAGGCGGCTGGCAGGCAGCAAGCTGAGGTGTGTGGGTGTGAGGACAGGCACAGGCTGCATGCAGAGGGCAGGGCAGGGGACACGCCGTGGGAGGAGGCTCAGCGGGATCCTAGAACGTCTCCACGAGAAAACCTCCAGGCCCAATCAGCTTTATACGAGGTCTTCCACCGTGAAGTACTAATTACAATTTGAGTAAAAAGCTACATTAATGCATTTAATAGATTATAACTTTTTCTACCACTCTCTTCACGATTTTCATCCTAGCATGAGTTCACTATTACTAGATGAACAGACATCTAACCCTAGAAAGTTGAATAAGGTACAACTTTCAGTGAAAGGCCTCTATTCATTTACATGAAACTCTAAAAGCATTTCCATTTTACTTTGATTTTAGTCACATTTTATATTATTAGTATGTTATGATTTCTTAATACTCATCATTTCTAACCCTGTGCATTAATCCACTGTTTTAGTCACTCAAACATTTTTTTCTAAAAAAAAAAAAAAATCACAATTTTAACATTTTCATGGTTCTCCAACTGTACCTGCTCTATGTAGCTATAAACATGCATTGAACTGAGCCCTTTAATTCCTAGTTTGAGAGCGACGCAGTTAGGGCAGTGATCTCACAAACATTTCCTGTACTTTACTCACCACTTTGGGTATATAAATACTGGGTCCTGGTCTAAAGCTGAGTGACGAGAGGAAAAATCTCTGGAGCACACCATCACGCCCAGGGGGATCCACTGGCATTAAAGAAATCCTTCTGGGCCTGGGTACCGGTTCGGTGCCAGCCCAACCAAGAGCCTCTGTTAAGGACAGGATATACAGGAGGCCTGGCATTGTCTCACAGTGACACCAGCACTGTTCTGTGTAGATGTAACTCACCGCACTCACCTTGCAGGACAGACTCTGTTTAAGACAGGTGTCAAAGAAGGCAAAGACACAGTTCCTGCTCTTCTTCGGGGACACAGCTCAGTCAGAAAACACCCTACGCTGACCCTTCACCCCCTCACCCCACCCATCCCCACAGTGATGGGTGAAAAAGTAGGACTCTCCGTAACAGGACACCATGGAGAGATACACTGCTTAATTATACAAAAAGGTAAAACTACAAAGACAGACAGGAAATGACACACACAGAATCCTATTTCTAGGGGTGAGGCAGAGAAAGTAATCAGGGAAACATTTACAGGGAGCTTCAGGGGATCAGGAAGGTTCTGTTTTAAGTTGGGTAATATGTACACAGACGATCATTTCCCTGTAATGCTTCATACACGTAAGTCAGGCATGGTGGCATATGCCGATATTCTCAACTACTTGCAAGGATGAGGCAGGAGGACTGCAAGCTCAAGGTCAACCTAGGCAACACGCTCAGGGGTAGAGTGCTTGCCTAGCATGCCTGTTCAATGCCTGGTAACACGCAAGCACATGCACGGAAAGAATGGCCAGAGAAATGTAAGTTCAGAAGTTACAGGTTAAACAAACCTGTAATAATATGTACGTAAATTTGTACTGATTTTTTAAAAGCCAGACTTGGAACAGTAGAAGAGACGACTAACAGCCTTGAGGACAACAGCTTCCACACACAATCTGAGCAGAAATGACCGACCCCGTGGCACTGAGGAATAAAGAAAGCTGTGGGAGGCGGTGAAGGAAACGGAGGCCTTCGCACGCCACACAGACCTCTCTACAGCAGAGAGCAGGGGTGGGGGCACCGGGACTACGAACCAAGGCAGAAGGCACCCAGAGAACGTGACCAGAGTCCTGCCTTTTTTCCCCGGCCCCAACCACCTCAGCGGAGGTGTTGCGCTCCCTCAACCACAGCCACCACCAGCTCCCCAGACAGGCCCGCTTTTCAGTGTGTGTCCCGAAGCCCAGGCACGTTGCAGGGGCGACACCACGAGCAAAGCATACTAAGACAAGGACCAAAGCCAGAGATAGACAGAGCAAGTCCCAAGCTGCAAACATCTGTTCTTCCAACTGTACCGTCTAGCCGGGCGTCAGCACAAGAGGTCTCATCACAGGCTAATGTTCCCAAAGTCAGGCAGAGTCATTTTGCTGACTCATCACAAGTAGGTTTCTTGGCTGGGAAAAGAAAGTATTGATTTGAACTTCCTAAAATGAAGTTCTTGAATATATACTCATTGAACCTGTTTCTCATTATTAATTTTAAAGATTGATCTTTAAAACACAAAGAATATGTAAACTACATACATTACCCAGGCAAACTTAAAATAATAAATTATTCACTATTTAGAAGTTAAATTTAATTCAAACCCTCACAGGTATCTGCTGAGATGTGCTTCCAGAACTCAAGAGTTTAGATACGGTCTGTTTCCTTACAAAATTTACAAAGCTAATGGGAAAGAGAACATTGTAAGCAATGGTAATACAACACAATGAGATAAACTATTAAGCTATAAATAAGGCACTAAGAAAAAGAAAGAAGACCACACAGGGCTAGAGAGATCTTGGAAGTCATCATCGAATAGATATCATTTGAGCAGATGTGATGGCACACACCTGTAATACTAGTATTCCCAGGAGACTGGGAGAGGAGGATGGCAGGTTCAAGCCCAGCCTGGGAAACTTAGCCATATCCTGCCTCAAAATAGCATAAAAAGCACTGGCAATGTAGCTTAGTGCAAAGGCCTTGGGTTCAGTCCCCAGCACCACAAAAATAAAATAAAATAAAATAAAAAAACAAAAAACAAAACAAAAAAACACTTTCAATTTGAGTACTGGTGGTAGAAAACTTTCAAAAGAGACAAGGAACAGCATGAAGAAAAAGTCGAGAAAGTTAGAAGCATCTCCAGGAATCAGATACTGTGGAGAATGCATAAAAGGATCTACCGGGCAAGGAAGCCTGATAAACAGTCTTGGAACAGTTAACAGAGGGCTTTCAAAGTCACACGAATGCAGTGCCTCAGTTTCCTGGTGCAACGAGGAGCCAGCAGGCTTCTGAAGCAGGGAGCAGCACGACCCACATGCACAGGAGTCGGGCGAGGCCCCCACAAGCACAGGGACTGCAGGCAGGAGGAACACCACTTATCCACTGTCACGATCCCAGGGAGAGATGATGAAGGCCAGAGCTAGGGCAGTAGAGATGGAATGGAGGCAGCAGATACCATAAACACGGCAATGGTCCGAGGACAGCACTTGGCAAGTGATTAGAGACAGGGAGGAAAAGTACAGGGACAGCACCACGCACTGTGATGTCACCAAAGTTGTTAGCAAGGGCTTCGAGGAGACAGACTAGACTTCTTTGAAGCTACCTTCTCCGTCCTTATTTGGTTTCTGAGAACAGCCTGAATAAGCAGCGGTTTTCTCTGATAATGCCTAAAGACCGTCACAGGACCAGCTGTTTCTATTTTACTGACATCACACTGTCAAATAGTGATACTGATGCTAACATTTCCCAGCACTATTTTAATTCTTATTTCAGCCCCCACAATCGCACACATTTCTGCAGAAGTCAGACAGAGGTAAAGGAGGTATTCCTTCCTAACAAATAAGAAAGCAAAGAATATATGCCTAGCGTAAGCTCGAGGCTTAACGTGTTAAAGTTTCAATAAATCATTATGCTAATTTTACCACTAAAGAAATAGCAACATAAATTGATATAACAAGGCCAGGATGACTGAATAAATTCACAATTTCCTCACTGTAACTGCAAGAGTTAAAAGCAAAGAAAAAAGCAGCAGTAGAAGCAAAAAAGAAGAAAAAAGCAGCAAAAACAAACCTACTGATACATATTCAAGAATGTTTAATATCTATAGAAGTCAGTTTATTCAGTCTATTTGGAACAAACTAAATATATAACCCAGTAAACTCTTTTATGCTTTAAAAGGGCTTGTAAGTTAAAAAAACAAAAACCCCTAAGCATATGTAAGAAAATCTGAAGTATTCTAAATGCAAAAAATAAAATTTAAGATGCACAAACCTGATAAAGTCCAGCATTTGACAAACAGAAAGATCCAAGCAGTGCTAAACCTGAGTTAACAGAGGGAGAAAATGGAAGGTGATATATATCCTTTGACTTCTCAGCCTTCTAAAGAGTAGAGAGTAGATGAACTAGAGTGATGATTAAAAAATCTTGATTGAAAAAGTAAAAGCAAGCTGGGTTTGGTGGTGCACGCCTGTAAACTCAACACTCAGGAAGCTGAGGCAGGAGGATCGGTGTGAGTTCCAGGCCATTCTGAACTATGTCTCAAAAAGCTAAACTGGTCCTGCTGTCTTACCTTGGGCTTTGCCCTGGCCCCTGCTAAGGACTCTGGCAGCCAGGGCAGGACGCAGAGTCTGGCCTTAACCATCACTCTCCGTGTCCTCTAGACCTGCTCTTCAGGCAGCCGCAGAGCTCACAGCTGCCTCCTGGCTGTTCCCTAACTCTCACATCCTACCTCCCCTGTAAAATGCCACAGACAACTAAGTACCACTGGAATCATGTCTACAAAAACCCTAACCTATTAAGGGCTCGACCCTCTCAGATTTTATCACTGCTAAAACTTCTGATATTTCTGAGCACCTAAAAATGTAATTAATGCTTGAGGGCAGTGTTTTTAAAATCTGAGTTCCCATTATAATTTTTTTAAAATATGTAACATAGAGGAAAAAAACACCAGAGTATGTCAACCCTAGTGAGAGGTAGTGGGAACTTTAGAAGCAGACCTCATGGACACTGCCCATGAGGCACAGAAAGGACCAGACAGCTATGGGGCCCTGGTCAGTGCCCAGGCGCTCTCTCTGGCCTCCTGTCCCAACCCGACTCATCCCGTTCTTCTCCCATGGGCTTCCTCACAGTGTCACCATATGGGGCGCAGTGAGGGAGTACTATCTGGATGTCACTTCCAAACACTGAGCTAAGTAAACTGTTTTATAAAACACACAGGTTCGGGTATCTCATTACAGTAATGGAAAGCAAACTAATGCACTGTGCATTAGTGCACACAAGATCAAAATGTAAAATACGTTTCTTATTATAGGTTACAATTTTTTAAAAGAGTACATGTCTCCCCTTATAGCAATGTTCCTTCAAGTGTGCTCCAAAGATCAATACAGTAGAGGGACTATTTGCTAATAGTATGTGATAAAATAGAAGGAAGCTGTAACCAGGCAAGGTGGTGTACACCTGTAGTCCCAGCACGTGGGAGGCCAAAGCAGGACAATCCCAAGTTTGAAGTTGGTCTGGGTTAATAGCGAGTATAAGGCCAGCCTGAACTACACAGCAAGACCCTGTCTCAAAACAAATAAAAAATAAGGTTGTGACAGAATATAAATCAACCAAGCACACTGACCTTTTAGAGCACCAGGGCTTTTTCACTGCAGAAAGCACACACTGATTCACATTCTAAAGGTAAGGAAGACCTTACACAACTCAGACTGGCTACTCTGAACAGCACTGCTCTAAGAGATACAGAGGATGGGTCTTCTGATCACAAATGTCTCAGTCTAGTTACCAAGAACAAATTAATACCCATTCAATAACCCCCAAAATGAAATGTGTAGCTCAGTGGTAAAGCAGGTACTTAGCAAGTACAAGGCTCTACATTCAATCCCAGCATCAAAAATAGGAAGCAGTAGCAGCAGCTGAAAATTAACTGCTACTTTATGCACTGCGATTCTTATTACTGGGAAGTCACAGGAGGAGAAAATTCAGTTTAGTGAGGAAACACAACGCTTCCTCCAGCCCAGTGTGCTCTCCTCTCCTGTGCTGACCTTTCTTCCCCAACTCCACTTGTACTTCTCTGCCCCTGATGGTTGCAGTTTCTGGAATTCATTTCTTGGTCTGAATCCTATAGCTGCTGCTGTCTATTCTGGGCCTGTAGTTTAGGATACAGACCAAATGACAAGTATGTAGAAGTGCTAAGGTAGAGACAGAAACTGGCTCCAAAGCCAGGTTCTAAGATATGGTGAGAAAGGAGGACCTTTTAGAAGAGGAAAACACCATGAACAAATACATAAAATGACAAGTTAGTAGGAAGACAAAAAAAGAATATTCAGTGATGGCGAACTTTTACAGCTTTCAATGACAACAAACAGCCAGCTGCAGGACGTGTGCCAAGGGTTTACTATCACTGCTTTAGGAATTATTGGGAAATAATCAGAACAACAGAGTCCACTATGTCTTTGTATGTGTGGCACCTACCTCAGTCCTCACAGGCAACGTTTAATAACGGTTAGCTAACAAAAATTAAACCAGGTGAAGAGACAGCATCACATTATGCTTTGAAACTTTGGACTTTAAAACGATCCAGAATTGTTTATATTTGACTCAGCAGGCAACTAAAGCCAGGATTATTGGGAAAAATATTACTACAGGGTGGTAGACTGGGGATATGAAAATTGGACTAGAAAGAAGACAGGAAAAAGGAAATGATACCATGGAAAAGAATAACTAGAAGGCCCTGAGGAAAATGCAAAAACATGCTTTGATGCTGCATTAACCAAACGGGTGTATTTTCTCTTGCTTGCAATCCTCCCACCCTCAAAATGTGAAGAGCAGTAGCTCTGTTAAGAACAAACATGGCAGCTTCCCCCCGATGTTACACCGTGGACTGAGACAACTCTGCCGCAGGAGGCCGCTCTGTCCAGTCAGGAATGCTGAGCAGCACCCTGGCCTCTTCCCACTCGACACCAGCGGTACTCCTGCTCCAGGGATGAGAACCAAAACTCTCTGAGCATCACTGAATGCGCCCTGGGGCACAATCACCCCCAAATAAGACACCTCACAGAAAAGCAGGTAACTCAATCCTGAGCACAGAGCATCTGAAGAAAGATGGCCCATCAGATGTAAATGTGTACTCAAAAGCTGTGGAGAGACCAGATGCTAAACCTGTGTGTCAACTATTAAGGTATTAATGTTCATCTTCACTTATAATCCTTGTCGTTTGAGAGATGATAAAAGTTCAACGCAAATATTATCTAGGATTTGATTCAGAATAATTCCATTTTTAAAAATTTTATGTCATATATTTAAAAACTTCAATACTTTTTAAACACAGACATTAGTCAGATAGCCATAGTATTACACACCTGTAGTCCTAGCTACTTGAGAGGCTGAGGCAGGAGAACCGCTTGAGCCTACGAATTCTAGACCAGCTTGACAGAGACTGGTGCCTCAAAAAATATGCATAATAAAATCAATAAATACATTTTTAAAATCGATAAATCATAAGATATCATGTATACCAGTAACTAAGAATAGATCACCAAGGAAATGAGCTCTTGTTTTTCCATAGCTGACTATTTAATGGAAGGGCCCAGATTGTGCGCATGGGTGGGGGAGTAGGGGGTTAAAGAATAAAGATTCAGAAAAGGAAAATCAGAAAAAGTAATCTCATGGAAACCAAGAAAAAGAACTCCAGGGAATTTTTACAATGTTCTCAGAATGCTAAGAGGGGAAAAAAACCACAGTCAAATAACTAGGCCTAGTTCAGAAAAGTGACCATATAAACTGGCTTAAATTTGATAAACAGAGAATACTTACAAGGTGCAGTGTTGAGAGGTTTAAGGGATACAAAAAGAAGTTGTGCCTCCTAACATCCTCCAATGGGATGTTTCTACCTCATCCCAGGAAAGACAACTGCGCAATGTTAATACAAAGTACGCTGGCTGCCATAACCAGCAAATCATAACAGAATCTGTTTGTTTAAGGAGGACCACTCCTAAAAACAAACAAAACCAAAATGACTTCTACATGTTTACCCTCACCTGTAAGTTTAATCCATTTATTTTATCTGGGCCCTCATTATATTTTAATAGTTGTAAAACAGATAACCAGATTTACCAGACCATACTTACTATGATACTATGTATCAAAAGACATGGCTCTCAACTGGATGTTGTGGTGGACACCTACAACCCTAGCATTCTCGGAGGGTGAGGTAGGAAGATCACAAGTTTGAGCTCAGCCTAGTCAACTGAGCAAGACCTGTCTTCAAAAGATACGACACAGTTCTCAATCCTACCTATAAATCAGAATCACCTAGAGAATTTTAAAAATAGTTTCACTCTTAAACAGTTAAATCAGAATCGCTGATTTTTTTTTTTTAATACTAGGGACTGGCCAGGGATATAGCTCAGCAGCACAGCGCCTGCTTCGCAAGTGCAAGGTCCAGAGTTTGAGAGCTGGTACAAAGAAAAAAACTCCCCCCAAAACAAGAAACAAACAAAAAACCCTAGGGACTGAACACTTTGCACTGACCTACATCCCTAGCCCTTTTTTGTAAAAATTCTCAGATAAGGTCTTGCTAAGTCACTAAATTACCTAGGCTGGGCTCAAACTTAGGATCTTGCCTCAGCCTCCCAGAGTGCTGGGACTGCAGGCATGCATCACCACCCTGGCCACACAGCCATTTTTAAAAGTTCCCCAGGTGAATTCTAACACACAGTCAAGACAGAGCCATAATGTGGAGAACAGATGTTGCTAGAAGCAATAAAGCATGATGATGACAACTGTTTCTAGCTGAAATCAGCACCATAAACCATATATTCCACAACCTATCAAAATTATGACTAATAGCTTTTGTTTCTAAATTGTGCAACTGAAAAATTAAAATAAGGCCTCCAAGATTTCTATGCCTGCACCTTTTTCCCAGGACTATCTTATTTTGAAATTGGCATCATAATGTGTAATAATTTCATCTCACTCTAAACATGGATTTACATCACTACTGGTATCCTTCAGAGAGTTTAGTGCTATGAAAAACTAAACTGTGATGTGCTAGCCAAGAGACAGGCTTAGTTATCTCAATGACTTTATTTACTACATGTAAGTATTGTTTTACTTGATTTGGTATGGTAATAACTGTGGAATTCCAAACAAGTTTGATATTTCATCATTTACTACTAATAAATTTAGTATCATAGAAATGTAGTTTAGTTTTATTTTCTCTTTACTCATCATATGATGAACAAATTCCTTAAATTCTCCCAACAATGACACACACCACTGCCATTTCTTAGTTTACCTTCATCTGCAAAATAAAACAAAAATGACCCCTCTGCTTCCAGCTACCATATATATCAAGTGGAAAAAAAAATACAGAAAAATGCTCTGAAAATTGTAATATGCCAAGATATAAAGTTATAAGGACATTAAGAGGCGTACCTTATTCGACCTCTACTATATAAATCCAAACATGAGTCCAGTATTACTTTATCATCAAAATTATAGTAAGTTAAACATGGCTACAAATTCTTTGATATTTTTTGCCTTAAAAGGTAGGTAGGAGTTAGACTGGGCTACAGCTCAAAGCCCAGGGTTCCCTAGCATAGGAAAAAAGTAGGAGTTTATCATCTGGAGGAGGGGCTTTCTGACTGCTTTAAGCAATAAAGTATGTTGGAAATAATGTGCCAATTTCTAGGTCCACGCATTTAAGAGGCTAGGCGCTTCTACTTTCCATCCCTTCAAACATATAGTACTGAACCCCAGCAGCCACGCCGTGATGCGTCCAACCCACACACAGAGGCTATGCGGAGCATCCCAGTGCTGTCGCCCTCTGAACACCCAGCCAACAGCAAGTGCCCTCCACGCCCCTTCCCAGGGTCCAGCCCGGCTGAGCCTTCAGATAACGCCCACCTCAGCCGCTTATCTGAACACAAACGTGCGAAACTCTAACCGAGAGCCACCTAGTGAAGTCAGCCTGGACACTAAATTGTCATTTTAAGCCACTGTTTTTTGGAGTGATTTGTTATGCAACAATAAGTAACTGAGATAACGGTAACACTTCTTTTTGTTTTGTCTTTGGTGACAGGGCTTCATCATATTGCCCAGGCTGGCCTTGAATTTCTGGGCTCAACTGACTCTCTTGCTTCAGCCTCCTGAATAGCTGAGACCTCAATTATTTTTAAAATGCTTTCTTAAAGCTGGGCATGCTTTCACACTTCTGTTATCCCAGCACTCAGGAAGCTTAGACAGTTGGACTGCCATGACTTTGAAGCCAGCCTAGGTACATAGGGAGTTCACCAGCTTGAACCACACAGCCAGACCCTGTCTCAAAAAAACAAAATGAAGTATAAAAGCTTCCTTAATTATATATAATTTAACTAGCAACATATTTAAATAAACTTCTCTTTGATTTCTACAAAAAAGGGTGTATTCCCATGTAGAAAACTTCGTAATACAATACCCCACCTTTTATTTATTTATTTAGGTACCAGGAATTGAACTCAGGACCTTGTGCTTGCCAGGCAGATGCTGCACTACTGAGCTAAATCCCAGCCTACATTTTATTTTTAAAATGTCTGATGCAGATTTATTTTCCCTAAATGTCTTACTTTACCAAGCCACGTATTTTGTGGTTCCTTTCCATTACGTTCACATCAATAAACAAATGCCCATAAGGATTACAAAATTCAAGTAAATACACCTTTAAAGGAAATGCTAAAAAGACATCTTAAAACTTTTTTCTGTTAAATTAGCTTACGCACTCTTTTCTCAAAGAGTACATGTCTACGTGCAAAATCTCACTGACAGATGTGCTGTTTCCTATCACCACCTAATTTTGCACTCTGTCGCGGTAGGAATACATATTTCAGTCATATCAACATGATAAAGACATACCAGGATCCAAAACCTCCTTCCTGGCCCTCTCCTGTAATGATGGGAAACTAAGTAAACCTATCGTGAATGACATTCAACAAAGAACCATAAACAGATCGGCTTCAAGACAAATCTGCTGATCTGGCAAAGCCGCATAAACCTACAAAAGGTGAACACTTAACAGATATTATTTGGCATTTTTAATGCAGCAGGATATATACAAAGCTAAGGATGCTCTGGAGGCTCAAAAATGAGAAACATCCTTTAGGAAGACATTCCTTTCATCTGAAACAGCTCTGAACAAATACTGAATTCCCTAGGCTCCGCCACACCTCTGGGTCAGGTAAATATCCTCATTAAGTGACTTGTTCAAGGTCACGGGACAAACCAGAGGCGAGCAGCAGACCCAGGAGTGTGCTCTGCAGCTTTGGGGATACACGCTCATCACCGCAATTCAGGGTTGTGAGAACTTCCTCGGTACGCTGCGGGTGAAATTAAGTTGTCCGCGCCACAACTCTAGGACAGCAGGCGCGTCTGGGAAAAGCTGCTATTTGAGGAAGTCGGTTTTAACTCCGACGAGCTTATTAAGTCCTCGCAGCACCCCACTAGAGGGGGGCGAGCCGCAGGCACGGGGTGAGCTGCGAAATACTGGAAAGGGCCGTAGCACGGCCTGGGATTATAAACGGACACCAGAGAAGCAGAAAACGGAAGTACGAGGAGGAGGTCAAAGTCGGGTCCGAGCGTCCGGGAGAACGGAAGAGCGGGCAGGACCACCTTCAGGGGAGAAAACCACCCGGCCTCTCCGGGCAGCCCCGGGTGGGCAGCGGCCGAGCCTGGAGGGCGGCCGCGCGTCCGGGGCCGTCCCACCCTCTCCGCGGACAGGGCTGGACGCCGGTGACCAGCAGCGGGCCAAAGGACAGCGGGTCCACTGCGGACGACTTCCCCGGAAGAGGGCCCGGAGGCCGGGCCCGCACTCACCGTGCGCCGGCCGCCTCGCTAGCGCCGGCCTGAGCGCCCGAGGCCCATCGCCCACCGCCCGAGGGAGCCGCCGCAGTCGTTATCCCGACGGAAGCCAGCCGGCTCGGCCTCTTTTCCCGATTTGCATTGCGTGGCGACGCGTCGCGTCTCTAGACGTCACGGCGGGGCGGGGCTTCGTGTGGGAGCCCTGGCCCCGCCCCTCTCCCTGTGAGGCGTTCGCAGCTGGACTAAACACTTCCGGGGCGGACTGCGAAGGTGGGTCTTGCGGACCTGAGTGGAGACCGGCCGCCGATCCGTCGCCCCCAAAACCCGTGGGCTCCGCCTTTCCAGGCACAGCTGGGACTCCCTGGTGTCGCGTCGCAACTGGGGCCTTGCAGTGTCACTATCTGCGGAGTCAGAGGTCCTGGGGGGCTGGGTTACCTGGAATTGTAGGCCACCTGCGCTTTTCCAAATGTGTGTTTTTCTCTCTAGTTGGGAAATGAGAACAAACTAGAAAAAGGATTCGAATCCCCTCATATTTTGGTTGAACTTCCTCCGAACCCCAGCCTTTAGCCAAAAGAGAGCAGGCATGATCATGGAAAACACTTCATCCTCACACACGAGGTCACGTAGAAGCCCCGTCTTGTAAAAGCAAAGCGAGGGGTCTGAGCTGCGTGCTCTCCTAGAGAAGAGCGATCGCACGCTCTGGGTTTCCGTAAACGCCAAGGTGCTGAGCGTGGGGCGGCCGGCAGTGGTCACTGAGTCTTCAGCAGCCCAGGCGTCTAACGGGTGGTGGTGGTGACGTAAGAGAACTGAATGCTAGGTGGCTGCTCGGTAACTGAGAAAGAGAGCGCCCAGCCCTGCAGTGCTCCGCAGACAGTACCCCTCAGTCAGTGCGCCGTTCCTTTCCAGTACAGTGAAACGCATGCGAAAGATTACTGTATCTTTTCCTTTGCTGTCTAAGCTATGCACTATTTGTGCCCCCCAACATGTAAGACTGATAAAATAAGTAACTTGTAAGCCCCGAAACTACGGAATAAACAACCTCAGTAAACTTTTCTTAACTAAGGAAAAAATTGTCCTTTGAGGAGGGGCCTTAAGGAAGGAATCTTTTTCCCTCCAC